TGTATGTGTTTTCTGCATAAATACGAAGATGTGTTAATCTTGTGTTTGCTGGCAGCTGTGTAGGTTGCATGTCTGTGTGTGTGTGTGTGTGTGTGTGTTTAAGTATGTGCGTATTTGTGTGTGTGCTTGTTTTTGTGTTTGTGTGTATGTATGCATGTATGTGTGTGTGTGTGTGCATGCATACAGGTGTGTGTGTGTGTGTGTATGTGTCTCTGCATAAATACGCAGATGTGTTAATCTTGTGTTTGCTGGCAGCTGTGTGCGTTGCGTGTCTGTGTGTGTGTGTTTAAGTATGTGCGTATTTGTGTGTGTGCGTATTTGTGTGTGTGCGTGTTTTGTGTTTGTGTTTGTGTGTATGTATGCATGTATGTGTGTGTGTGTGTGTGCATGCATACAGGTGTGTGTGTGTGTGTGTGTGTGTATATGTGTGTGTCTTTGCATTAATACGCAGATGTGTTAATCTTGTGTTTGCTGGCAGCTGTGTGCGTTGCGTGTCTGTGTGTGTGTGTGTTTAAGTATGTGCGTATTTGTGTGTGTGTGTGTTTTTGTGTTTGTATGCATGTATGTGTGTGTATGTGTCTCTAGTAAATACGCAGACGTGTTAATCTGTTTGCTGGCAGCTGTGTGCGTGAACATGTGTGTCTATGTATGTAAGTATGTACATATGTATGTGAGTGTGTGCGTGTCTTTGCACGCACACTATGTGTATACATGTATGTGCATATGCATCTGTGTATGTATGTGTGTGTGTCTCTGCAAAAACACCCAGATGTGTTAGTCTGGTGTTTGCTAGCAGCTGGGTGTATGTATATCTACATATGCATGTGCATATATGTGTGTGTGTGTGTGTGTGTGTGCATATGTGTGTATGTGCACCAGAGACGCTCTAGGCTCCAGCAGTCACTCAGCGAAGCCGAGAAAAAGAATAGATAAAGAGAGAAAGTTGGACCTGGGAGACGACCGGAGCTCCGGGGGCTGCGGCGGCTGCACTCTGCGGGGCCAGTGGCATCTGAGTGAGGGGCCCCTGGGGGCCGAGGGCCGGCTGAAGCTGCTGGGGAGCTGCTGTCACTGCCACGGCGGCTGCCACGGGGGCCTTCTGGAGGAGAAGAACACAGACACGGAGATAAACACAAGCTGACGTCTGCCTGCCAGCAAGGCCACGGAGAACAGGAGAGACAGAGAGAGAGCACAGCGGCCTGTCACATCGCGTGTCCCCAGAGAGACACACACAGACGGATGGAGGACGTCACCATCACTGCACCTGAACACACACACACCCTACTCGCCGCTCCTGGATGAGCACTCCAGATATTCTGAATTAGACAATAATATGATAAAACTCATCTGTTGTAAGCTGTTTGGACAGACGTGTGTGTAGGTATAGTGTGTCCACAGTCATATTGTGGTGATGTTAACCCAATAAGTCTTTTTTTTATTTCCTTATGTTAAAATAGGATCCAAATCCCTCCCATTTTGATGTCGACCACAACGTGACGTAGGAGTACGGTTTCCCTGTCCGCCAAATTGATTGACAGCTGCATGTTAACATGTCTCCATTGTAACATGCATAATCATATCAACAAGACAGGATGTGCGCAAAGCAACCGGGATTAAAAGATCTGTTCAGCTCTCTGTGATCATCAATCATCATCAAATGTGATCCAGAGTGAGTTTTACAAGTCTAAAACGTTTTTAAAACAGCGCATGTTTGTAATAAATAAACCGATTTTACCGTATTTACTTTATCATCAAAGCTGCGTATCAGTACAATTATTAAAGAAGGCGCTTTATCCTGGTTTGTGAAAGTTAAATCCGGTTTATTTTGTACATTAACATAACGGATATCCATACAGCCGTGGAGATTAATGTATCCTGTTACATTTGCATGCAAAAACAGTGTAAAGTTAAATGTGCACGCTTTGTGTGTGTGTGTGTGTGTGTGTGTGTGTGCATGAATTTTGTAATGACATTGTGTGTGACTCATGGAAAGGCTTGAATTATGGCCCTGTTTACAGTAATGCGTTTTAGTTTTAATACGCATACGTTTTGCTACGGTTACGCCATCCGTCCACACTACGCTGGAGTTCTCGAGCGCCGAAATCGGAGCATTTTGAAAACGCTGGAGAGGCCGTTTTCATTCTGAAACGCTGCTGCTCCGTCTCAGTGTGGATGAGGGAAAACGGCGACATCTGAAAACGGAGGCGGGGCTGCTGAGATTCACTACCTGATTGGGGCTTTTGTGTCATTGCGTGTCCTTCCCTTATTCGTTAAGCCCCTATCACATGACTATAACTCATGGTTTTATCGCTACCGGAAAACAGTACTGTGAACAACGACATGGACACAGAAATGGGAGCGTTGTTTGCACTATTGTCTGTTTTAGGCGCCATTGTGCAGTTATTCATTTGTTACGTTTAGTAACAACTCGACCTCGTCGTCTGTCTGCAAAAATCCCTCTCTTGCTTTCTTTGCCATCGCGTTTAATGTTCAACCGGCGTCTGTTGACTAACAATAACCAAATGCCGAGCGAGACACATGCTTCCTGTTTATACTAGAACGCGCATGCCCAGAGTGCGCGAATGGTCATGTGATGTACGTTTCTGGTGGCGCAGTGTGGATGGAGATATGTTCAGAAACGCTAGGTGAAACGCTAGTGTGGACGCTGATCGTTTTTGATCTAAAATGCTGTTTTAAAACTAAAACCCACTAGTGTTAACGGGGCCTAACTCTACACCAAATACATCAAATAATCATTGGGATAGTTCTTACTGTAGTATTTCTCACAAACGTTACATGAGATCTGCTTCATTCTGAAACTTTACAGACACATTGTGTAGACACAAAAGACTTATCTTAAATTTTGAAAAAGGGATAAAATAGGTGCAGTTTAAGGCGTTAATATGAGTTGCTATTAGAATGTTCCTTTCCATATTATATGTTAGAGCACATACAGTTGAAGTCAGAATTTTTAGCCCCCCTTTGAATTTTTTTCTTTTTTAGAATATTTCCCAAATTATGTTTAGCAGATCGAGGAAATTTTCACAGTATGCTTCACAGTATTTCTTCCTCTGGAGAAAATTTTATTTGTTTTATTTCGGCTAGAATAAAAGCAGTTTTTCGTTTTTTTTTAACCATTTTAAGGTCAAAATTATTAGCCCCTTATTATATAATTATTAGCTTTTTCTTTTTTTGATAGTCTAACCTGCCTAGTTAACCTAATTAACCTAGTTATGCCTTTACATGTCCCTTTAAGCTGTATAGAAGTGTCTTGAAGAATATCTAGTCAGATATTATTTACTGTCATCATGGCAAAGATAAAATAAATCAGTTATTGGAGATGAGTTAATAAAACTATTATGTTTAGAAATGTGTTATTAAAACTATTAGAAAATTGTTTAAAAATCTGCTCTACGTTAAACAGAAATTGAAAAAAAATAAACAGGGGTGCTCATAATTCAGGGGGGCTAATAATTTCTGACTTCAACTGTAGTTACATTACGTAAATAAAGCTTAGGTTTAGCATTGGTTTAATTGATTATACTTTAATTAATTTACATTATCTATGCTGTAAAAAGAACCTTATGAAATTGAAAATTGTCACATTGACCTTTCAATGGAAATTTATCAGTGGCCCAAAACACTTGTTGTGCATATAGCCCATTGAAATGAATTGCAAAGGCTCTATTTTAATGATCTAGTCACAAAGTTCATGGCTCAAAAGCATTAAGGGCATGTCCGAATCCACTTTTGCTATTTTAAGGATAGTAAAACACGCTCTGTGCCCCGGCACAGTTGAGCTTATACTCTTAATGAGTTCTGGGTGTGTTTTGAGCATAACATGCATTAAACCAATCAGAGTCTCATCTCTCATTTCCTTTAAGAGTCAGTTGCGTTGCGCCATGGTGCATTTGCTATTTACATGGTGGACTTTATAAGTGTAAAAACTGAACGCTTCACTAGAGAGAAACAGTTAAACAGAGCATCTGCAGCGCGAGGATAAAGAACGAGCCTCCTCCATTCAGCTTCTTTACCTTACTTTTACTCTTTACTCCTTTACTTTGGTGGAGTGAGGAAACAGTGGAAACTCACTCCACTGAACACAACCATCAGCCGACATGTTTAGTTTAGTTTATTAAGCACAAATATTTGATTTAAAACTACTTCTAAATTCAGTTCTGATCTCCAGCAAAGGAATAAATGAACAATAACAACGAGGTGTGCTCAAAAAACTGAGTTACATCCAAACACACGACCTGTTCTTATGCCCCATATAATGATGCAGACATCTCCAAAACACCACAGATGGACAAATTTAAACTTGTTTTTATAAAAAAAACTATAATTACGTATATAATCAACAATATTGCTATTAATAATAACATTACACCAATGCAGATTGTCATTAATAAATTGAAAAAGCCCCGAGATGAAGGCATGAAGGCGGTGATTTTTAAATTTATATAGACAATAATCATTTCTGTAATATTTTAATCCTTTAATTGTTTTTATCAGTAAAGATATTTGTGTATTGCTTTACATCCAGTGTTTATTCAGCAGTGTGTAAGCGTTTGGACCGGCATAGTCGCATGACTAACACTCTGCGCTGGACTTTAGAGCAGCTTTTAGTTGGTCAGTGGCACTGTCTATTTCAGTTCCTTAAAATAGCAACGCACCAACAATGCGCCTTAACACACCTCCTTTATACATCAGCACACACATGAGTCCACAAAGTGGCACAAATGGATTTGCTATTCAAACAATGTGACGCAAAGCGGGAAAATTACTATCGCGCTGGCCTGAAAATAGCAACAAATCACACCAAACTTGTCTTGCATCTTATTGCGCCGGGTGTATGATAGGACCCAAAGAGAGAGAGAGAGAGAGAGAGAGAGAGAGAGAGAGAGAGAGAGAGATAAATAAGGGACAGGTGATGCTCACAGTGGGTCCGGGTGTGGTGCTGGTCTGGGCTGCGGGGCTCGGGGAGCTGGACTGGACTAGTTTCGTTTGAGCCGCAGGAGCAGGACGAATAGCCGGAGCGCTAACAGGAGACTGCAGGGGAAAATACAGACAAATAGAGAAAAGAGAGAAAGATAGATTGAGAACGGAGGAAAACACACGCAGGGTCACAGCATCTGAAAACACAGAGCATTTCTGAAACTCATCACACCATTGGTAGACAGTTTAGTCATGTTTAACAGAGAGTTAACTAGACATGAGGACAGAATCTCATCTACATTTCTGACCGTTCAGATCATGACAATGTGAATTTTCCAACGTTATTTTTAATTACCAAATGTCACCACATGTATAGCAAAACCAGTACATTTTGACCTTATTGGGAAAATGTTTTGGTCCCCATGAGGAAAACAACTTATTAATAAATGATATAAAACTGCAGATTGTTTCCTGTGAGGGTTCAGTTTAGAGGGAGAGAAGAGAATATACACTACATAGTATACAATTGATCACGTCTATGGGAAGTTCCCATAAAAAGTTGCTGTAGAAGTGTGTGCAATTTATAGCACAATCCTTACATAATACTTCTCAATAACTGCATACATATAATAAGTCATATGTCTTGTGTTGTTCATATGAATCATGACCCGCTGCTCCTGACAGAGATCTCCATGCTTGTCCTGTGAGCCCTGATTTCAGTGTGTGTGTCTGCAGGGTACACCCGGGTGTAAATCCCTGCTGTGAGGGGCTCCGAGATCAGTGCCAAACTCAACACACACAGATGCACGTCTCCGGGCCCCTGCAGACACGCGGAACCGCTCGGGGCCGCGCACACACACACACACACATGCACGCGCTGACGGCGACGCGCTCGCAGTGGAAGTGTCTTTTAAAGCGCTCAGGCAGTTGGAGGATAAATGATTCAAGGAAAGAGGAGCGTCTTCCGCACAAAGACTGACAGCAGGATGAGGAGAAGCGCCCGGGAATAAAAACACAAACTCCACACACACTAAAACTCTACTACTAACTGACTGCATTGATAAAACTACTCCTGAAATGACGCTTCTTTAAAGACAAGATGAATTAGCAGGTCAATTAAGAGGAATGTAACAAACTCACTTTGTACAATCTCATATTAAGTTTGTCAAGTTTCGTATTGATTATAAAATATAAAGCTTTAAATAATCAAGCTCCTGTTTATAGCCAACCTTCTGTCTCGCTACAATTCAACTCGCTCTTTAAGATCTCAAAAGACAGGGCTTCTGGTAGTACATAGAATAGCAAGGTCTACTAAAGGAGGTCGAGCCTTCTCATTTATGGCCCCCTAACTCTGGAATAGCCTTCCTGGTAATGTCCGAGGCTCAGACACACTCTCCCAATTCAAAACTACATTTAAGACCTGTCTTTTTAGTAAAGCATACACCCAGTGCATCACTTAGCGGTATGATACATGAATGTGCTCCACACAAGTTTCTGCATCTTGTTTATATACACTATGAACAGCAGCTACGCTAATTATTCTCTTTATTCTCTATTTCCACCTGGGGATACTCATCCCGAGGCCCTCAGTCTATGCAGCGCCACTGATTCGATCCAAGACCAGCGACAAAATGATCCCAAGGTTCCATAATCCTGGACCAGGCCGTATCCTGAGCATCTGCTGTGGTGGTCATGGAGGAGTGGAGAGCATGAGACTGATTCCAGTGAGACTCCAGGGACGGACAAGTCTTTGCTATGGTCCAGCTTTCAGCCTCCAGCACCTAGACTGCAGCTCTGCACAAGACGTTTGGCCAGAGGAGAAAAGGTCGTGCCCATCTGAGCCTGGTTTCTATCCAGGTTTTTTAATGAAAAGTTTTTTCCTCATCACGGTTGCCACTACCTTGCATGGATCAGGACCGCCAGAGCAGCGCATCGATGGATTTGCTCTTCAGTGTTTGGACTCTCAGCAGTGACTATTAAACCACAATGAACTGAGTTAAACTGAACTTAAACTCTGAAAACTGAACTACACTGCCTCAATTTATATGATCTTCTATATGAAGCTGCTTCGACACAATTTACATTGTAAAAGCGCTGTACAAATAAAGCTGAATTGAAAATATTAATCCCTATTGTAGTGCCTATAAAGTAGTACGAAGACTAGAACTACTGGTCAGAAAACATTTTCGTTAACTTAAATAAAATCAAAATAAAGGTTAGGTTCATAGCACTCCCCGAGAGTCTCCTGTATTTCACACCCATCTCCCACCACCATCCCATTTTGTCATTTCTCCCGGGAAACTCCTGTTATTCGTTTGGCCCAATCTAGTTATGAAAAAACACTCTCTGTCCATGTTTGTCAAGTTGCCAGATCTTGTGTGAAGCTCATCACCTCACACAGTTGATGAAATATTCAAATCTCGAAGCACGTTTTACCTCAATCTGGCAACATACATTACAACCCTGTTTCTATATGCAGTATATAATAACAGTATTTCACACAGTAACTTTATTGTTTATTTCCGGTAGGTGGGGTGCCAGAAAAAAGGCGTAAAATAACGGCCGTTAAATTACAGAAATTTACAGTAAAATAACAGATATTAAATTACACAAATTTACCAGAAATTAAAATTGAAGGAAATTTCAGCAATTTAATATCCATTATTTTACCGTAAATTGTTATTTAATTGCCGGACATAATTTTTTAAATAAAGTATATAATATAATATAAATTTTTTTTTTTTTTTACAGTGTAGCTGGTGATTGATTTTAAAGTGTGTTTAGCATGATGTCCCAGGAGAAAGCCCTGAGCTCATAAGATCCTCGAGCTCGGGGTTCCCTCCCAATCGCAGGGTGAGAGGGGAGTTTGAACTCAGGTAGGTCTCGAGATCTTTCCTGCTTATTTATTGCTAATGACAAATAAGAGATTGCTATGGAGAGATATACTGCTCGCTGAGAGCTCATGATGGTGTCAATCTGGTTTGGTCATTTCACCCATGTCTTTGAACTGTGTAAGGTAACCGGAGAACCCGGGGAGAACATGTAAACTGAATCTCAGTTGAACCGAACTGGCCTGGTAAGTGTGAATGAGTGAATATGGGTGTTTCCCATTACTGGGTTGCAGCTGGAAGAGCATCCACTGCGTAAAACATGTGCTGGATAAGTTGGCGGTTCATTCTGCTGTGGCGACCCCCGATGAATAAAGGAACTAAGCCGAAGGAAAACGAATGATTGACACTAATAAATGCTGGGTACTTTTTTACCCAATTTATGGGTCAAATGTGGACAGGCCTAAGAGCTGGGTTGAAATATTGTCATTTAAATTTAATCAACAATATCAAATATTGAGAAACTCAACATTGTTTTAATAAAACCAAGCATCTTTAGAAAGTAGTTTGATTTTAAAACCTCTAACCTATTTACTATCAGCTTTCTGACAAATAATATGCATGATATCAATGGCGTAGTGAACTTTTTTAAAGTGGGGGACAGCTATATAAAATCCAAAAGTTTACATTCTTAATCACCTGTTTCTTAATGGTCTGTGTCTAAAAGTGAGGGGGACGTATCCACTAAAAACTGTAAACTGTGCTGGGCTCCACACAATTCATTCATGTTGTCTCAACACAAATCAATTACTTTAACTATATGGTTTTCAACCAATTTAAGTGGATTAAACGTAAAATAATTAGGTTTGGATCAAATCTGCATAAACACAAATGCGAAACAAAACACACTCGATGTCTAAATATCAGTTATGAAAAACGTCTGTATGATTTAGTTCTTGGGTTCAGACATGAAGCCACGTGTAAACATGAGTGTGTGTCTCCATCTAGTGGCCATCAGTGAACATTACATCCTCACACACTGGCGCTTTAATACATTACAACTGCTCAGATTTATAAATAATAATAATAATGACTGCCCTAATATGATCACTAGCAATGTTTAATAATTATTATTTATTGTAATTACAGTTCTTTGCATAATTTAAAAAAGCAAATCACAAAAATAACTAAAAAACAATGTGAGACAAATAGGACGCCTAGTGGCCATTTACTGGAATGCTTAACAATAATGTCTCGTTAGTATTAAGTTGCTTTGACTAACGTGAACTGACAATAAGCATTATGTGTTTTTACAGCATTTAATATCTTTGTTAATGTGAATTAATATAAATACTATTCTTTATACTTTATATGAGTTCATAAAGTGCAATAAGTAATGCAAAAAATATATACTTTTGACTTTAAAAAAGCATTGATAAATGTTGAAATTAAATTGAACTAAGATTATTTGTTATATCCAGAAGCGTTGTTTATTGCTGGTGTTAATTAATGTAATGTACAAATAAAACTGTTTTATCACAAGTAGTTTTTTAAAAATATCAATACAGACTCAAATTCATACCTTCATTCTTTTTATTTTGGCTTAGTCCCTTTGTTCATCAGTGGTCACCCCATCGGAATGAACCGCCAACTATTTCAGCATGTGTTTTACACAGCGCATGTGTTTTGACTGTGGAAGAAACTGGAGCACCCGGAGGAAACCCACTCTAACACAGGGAGAACATGCAAACTCCGCTCAGAAATGCCAACTAACCCAGCCGGACTCGAACCAACGACCTTCTTGCTGTGAGGTGACAGTGCTAACCACAGAGCCACCGTGTTGCCCTGTTAGACTCAAATAAATTAATTTAAAATTGCATATAAAATAATAATAATAAATGAAATATGTAATCAATTCATTAAGAAATGTAGGTTTGTGAGCCTAAAAAAATCCTGACATCAAATGCAGGAGAAATATGTTTTAGACATGGGTAAATAAATTAACTAATTAAATAATTAAATAAATTATTTATTTATTTATTTATTTATTTATTTATTTATTTATTTATTTATTTATTTAATAATAATAATAATAATAATAATAATAATAATAATTACTGTCCTAATATGATCACTATCAATGCTTAATAATTATTATTTATTGTAATTACAGTTCTTTGCATAATTTAAAAAAGAAAATCACAAAAATAACTAAAAAGAATGTGAGACAAATATCATTAATTAATAAATTAATTTTATTTAATTAATAAATTAACACTACAGACTAACTGAGTTTTCTTGGCGGACTTATATCTGTCTATAGACTTTAGACTGTTATTTCAATCACGTAAACATTTAAATAAATAAATAGCAATTAATAAACAAAGCAAAATATACAAGCACGTCAATACAAAATCAGTATTGAAGGCTGATTTCAGGTGTAATTACTAGAGTTCAGCGCTAGATGTCAGCAGTGAAGCGTATGCGTTCATCAGAGACTAGGTCATAGATATATACACGAGATGTCGCATAGGGACCCTGAGCATGCGTCAATAGCGCCGCCACATTGGTACAGTGCTCCCAGGAAAAATGTCATTCAACCGCACTAGTCAAGACAGTGTTATTATTACGTGAAGATGCGGGACTTTAGCGCTGTCTACGGGTGTAGTAACGAGCAAACAAAGAAAACAAAGCACAAAGGCAGAACATTCCAAAGGTAAGATTAAGTTTTTTACGTTTTTGTATGTTATGAACTTTTGTGCTAATCAGGTAACATTCATTTCAAACCATTGATATATACACTAGATGTCGCCTGGCCTATTGTTGTCTATTGGACGGAATGCGTCAATAGCGCCGCCATCTTGCTACAGGGTAGCGCTCCTTTGAAATGAATGCGGGACCAAGGTACAGTGGAGGACTGTGGCCATCCAAAGCCAGAGATATACACATATACACATATATCTATGATCGGGAGTTTTCCTGGATGTTAGTGTGTAATTTTTTTTTTCTAATTACGAAAATTATAATTTTACATCACTTTTCTACATTGATGGATCAGTGACCGCACGGGCATTCCTGACAAAAAGCTTGTGTTTGTGTGTATAGAAATGTACTATTCACCCTCCCTGTTAAATTTAATATAATCATGTCCTGAAACACAGCTCCTCTCCTGCTTTCACTTCTCATACTGACGGAGGGAGCGATTCGTTTGTGAATGAATCCCCCGAACGACTCTTTCACTAACGTTAGCCGTCAATAATACAAGTTTCTGGCAGCGCAGCATCTCGTTGTCATATTTCTTTTGCATTGTTTGCTGATTTTATTCAACAAAACTAGCATAAGCCGAGTGTTTAGTGCGAGTTGGAGCTGCTTTGCCGTATGGTGAATGCAGTAAGTGACTGTTATCATCAATAACGTTACCTGATTAGCACAAAAGTTCAGAACATTCAAAAACAGAAAAAAACTTAATATTACCTATGAAATGTTTTGCCTTTGTGCTTTGTTTTCTTTGTTTGCTCGTTACTGCACCCGTAGACAGCGCTAAAGTCCCGCATCTTCACGTAATAACACTGTCTTGACTAGTGCGGTTGAATGACATTTGTCCTGGGAGCACTGTACCAATATGGCGGCGCTATTGACGCATGCTCAGGATCCCTATGCGATATCTAGTGTATATATCTATGATTTCAAAGGAGCTCTACCCTGTTCCAACATGGCGGCTCTATTGACGCATTCCTTCCAATAGACAACAATGTATATATCTATGAGACTAGGTAGGTCGACAGACCCACCACAACACTGACAAAGTTCCAGAATTTGTCCCATACATAAGCTACACACGTTTGTCCTATTTTGACAGCTATGTCAGATTATTAAAAAAAAATAATCAATCGCAGAATGCTTTAAGAGCAGATTAACTTCTGCTAATCATGACCAGTGCAAACTATTATTTTTCATGACTCCATAATCCAGCTGTGCAAGAAAACCAAGAAGACTTATAATCTGCTTTAGGTCCTGTCATGTTTCACTACTATATAAATACTTTACAAATAACTTATTCTAAATCTTGGACCTTATAGTTGAAAGAAAAAATGACCAATAAAATCTGTGGAGCACCAAAGGTGGCCCATATTAACGTACATGTTAATGCTAATTTGACTATTGTTGTGATCCATGAATTTTCAAAGTTAGTTTTACAGCGGAGGCTAGAAAACTCGTCAAGCTCTGCCTTATTATTATGTTTAATTTTCGGGGCGCTGTAGGTAGTGCTGTCGCCTCACAGCAAGAAGGTCGCTGGTTCGAGCCTCGGCTGGGTCAGTTGGCGTTTCTGTGTGGAGTTTGCATGTTCTCCCCGTGTTCACGTGGGTTTCCTCCGGGTGCTCCGGTTTTCCCCACATCCAAAGACATGTGGTACAGGTGAATTAGGTAGGCTAAATTGTCCGTAGTAAGTTGTCCGTAGACTGTGGGGGAAACCGGAGCACCCGGAGGAAACCCACACAAACACGGGGAGAACATGCAAACTCCACACAGAAATGCTAACTGACCCAGCTGAGGCTTGAACCAGCGACCTTCTTGCTTTGAAGGGACCACTGAGCCACCATGCCGCCGAATGTAGAAGTATCAAATGAATATTAGTGACATAAAAAGCACTTGATAAAGGGTAACGGCTATAAAACTATTGCTAATTAAATTGCTCAATGTAAACTTTGTAGTTTCTCTCCATGCTGTTGATCATGTCCTGTGCTGGTGTGTAATATTATGCTCATCCAAAATGATGAAAAAGCATTGCAGTAAACGATGTGCTTTGTAAACTATAAAATAAAGAATAGAGCATAATATGAAACCATAGACATAGCACTTTTGTCAGGTAGTGTATAGTGCATGGACAAAGTCCTGTCGCCTATCCAAGTTTTAGAAACAGCAAATAATAACTGGACGTCTAGTTGATCATTTGGTATCAGAAGTGGCTCATATGAAAGGCAAAGGCCTCTAGATCAGGGGTTCCCAAACTTTTCAGCCCGCGACCCCCAAAATAACAATGCCAGTGACTCGCGACCCCCAATATCCTCTGAGGTGGTTATAAATACAGAAACCTTGCATGCAATGACGCAGAAACACCAATTAAATTTGTGTCAGTGCTTAAAATGTGCCAGAAAGTATAACCTGATGTTATAAAATCAAAATGCATCTGACGCTATTGCTGCCTTTAATATAATGTAATTACCCCAGGGGTCGCAATCCAATAGAACTAGTAACTATAAGCTACTGTACTATAGTAACTATATAGTATATAGTAACTATAAACGACTATTTTTATTTTCAGTATAGTTATGGATAAAATATGTTAATTCTTATGGTTTAAAAAAAATAAATAGATTTTTGGAAATCACCAGGCGACCCCCCCTTCATTGCCCCGCGACCCCTCGGGGGGTCCCGACCCCAACTTTGAGAACCACTGCTCTAGATGACGCTTATTTGAGCACAATAAAACATGATCATGCCTTGATTATTAATGATTTGATTAGGACAGTGCAGTCTGACTCTACTTAGACTAAAGTCTCATCACTGAACAGAAATAATGTCCAGTATAGAATATAAAGTCCTGCTGCATTGGAGACAGAATGAATATTGTGTCTGACTCCATCATGAGCGTGGAGGACTGCATCCATACATCTCTGACACGACTCAAATCACTGATTAATAAAGTCATCTGGAATGCCAAAGAAAGCGTTCAGCAGGACTCCCAGAGTTCATCAAGACTCTTTGGATTCATCTTTAATGCCTCCTCCTTGTTCATGCTCAATAATGTTCATGTCTGGTGACTGGGCTGGCCAATCCTGGAGCAGCTTGACCTTCTTTGCTTTCAGGAGCTTTGATGTGGAGGCTGAAGTATGAGAAGGAGCGCTATCCTGCTGGAGAATTGTCCCTCTCCTGTGGTTTGTAATGTAATGGGCTACACAAATGTCTTGATACCTCAGGCTGTTGATGTTGCAGATCTCTCGCACGCCCCCATACTGAATGTAGCCCCAAACCATGATTTCTCCTTCACCAAACTTGACTGATATCTGTGAGAATCTTGAGTCCATGCTGGTTCCAGTAGGTCTTCCGCAGTGTTTGTGATGATTGGGATGCAGATCAACAGATGATCATCAGAGAAATCCACCTTCTGACACTTCTCCAAATGATCAACTAGAAGTCGAGTTATTATTTGTTGCTTTTAAAGACTTTTGTCAGGTAGTGTATATGCTACTTTACTACTATATAGTTCTTTAACACAAATTTAAAGCAGTAATTCACTCAAAAATGAATATTTACTCACTATTTTTCAAAGTCGATCCAAACCTGTTTGAGTTTCTATCTTCTGTTGAACACAAAAGAAGATATTTTGAAGAAAGTTGGAAACCGGTAACCATTGACTTCCATAGTAGAAAGAACAAATGGAAGTCAATAGTTACAGGTTTCCAACATTCTTCAAAATATCTCAATTTGTATTAAACAGAAGAAAGAAACAGAAGGTTTGAAAGTAAACAATGACTGAATTTCCACTTTTGGGTGAACCGTTGCTTTAAGAGAAACATTACGTATGCGCCAGATTTTCTGTAGCTCTAATGCATTATGGGTAGTAAGTACCTGTGGGGTCGTGACTCTGAATGTGGCCACGCTCGTGGGTGTGGAGGGCCGCGGTGAGATGCTGTTCTGAGCCTGAGCTTGAGCCAGAGCCTGCTGAGGAACCATCACCAGCTGACCCATCTCTGTGCGCACCAGAACCATTCCTCAAACACAAACACAACAGCAGTTATTATCCTGAGACCACCGACAGGAACAAATACAGCAAAAGCATGACTAAAAGCACACAACTATAATCAACAACAAACACTTTTGGATTTTTCTGACTGCAAAGTCTGCCATTAGGACAATACAAACGTTTAAGATCTTTTTGTTGTTGTTGTTAGAAGATATCTTAAAGAATGTTAGAACCGTAAAAGCAGGCAAAGTAAATACTATGGAAGTCGATGGTTACAGGTTTCCAACATTCTTCAAAATATCTTCTTTTGTTTCAATCATTTTACTCTTATTCTAACATGTGCAAACAACAGACCAGGATAAGAAAGCACATTCATAAACATTCACATTCATATATTTATAAATGCATATAAATATTCATGTTTTTTTTTTTGTACAATATATTTATTACTTTTTTCAATTTGCAAATCACAACAGATTACACAATTACAGAATAATAATCATGAACACACAGCAAACTTTTTACCCCCCATTCTCCCTCCCAACAACCAATTCCCTTAAAAAAAATAATCAATTAAATTAAATTAAATTAAATTAAATTTAAAAATATAAATAAACGAATAAATAAATAAATCAAATATAAATAAATAAATAAATAAATAAATAAATAAATAAATAAATAAATAAATAAATAAATAAATTTAAAAAAGGGGGGGATATCTTTAAATCAAATCAGGTAGAGAGTGTTTCCTGAGTCTGTTTAGACTATGATACTTCCCATATTTCTAAGCTTGTTCTTGTTGTAGTAGACTGCCAACATTTACATTGTACTTCAGGAAGTTATTAAAAGGTCTCCAGATATCTTCAAACACATTTAGTTTCTTTTTGACAACGTCTGTGATCTTTTTCATTGACATATGTGAACCCATTTCTTTAATTCACTTTCCTATTCTAGGTTCATTTATATTTTTCCATCTAAGAGCAATAATACGTTTAGCTTGTAAAATACACATTGAATTGATGAATTCATACGCTTTTTAATCTAAGTATTAGAATTTAAGATTATGATGAGTGTTAAATGTGGCTTAATGCATTTCTCACAACACTATTTACATTTGCACAACAGTTAATGCATTTCTCAAAACAATTAGTACAAACTGCAAAACCTAGTTGATAACCTGCAAAAGCGCATCTCTTGCCCAAAATGGAGAGCAGTTTGTACCCTTGAGGAATTAATATGGACCTATTGTTGTGAAACTTAACAGTATATCAATATATGTGTAACAATATATATCAATATATGTGTAACAATATATATCAATATATGTGTAACAATATATATCAATACCCTAGTAGCAAAGAATTCTGGCCCAGATTTGGCATAAAGCTGGCACAGCAGGCATTCATCCGGCACTGGCATACAGCATGTGGGCCAAACATGGCCCGGGTTTGGCAGAGGTGGCACCGTTTTTAAGGCGGCACACAAGATTTGGGCCAGATGAAAAACGTAGTATTTGGCCCAGATTTGAAAATGTGATAAGTGGGCCATTTGAGTTTGGCCAGTCTTGACCCACATTTAAAATACACTAAAATCATTTTTGAGTAAAGAAAAAAAATTCTACCAATCAGGTCACTTTGAGAAAAAGCGTGCCCATAGTGTGCCTAAAGCGCATCACTCCATGGGTTTATCAATTTCATTGCAATCGTGACACACCAACCTATCTGGCCCAGTTCAGGCCCAGTTATGAGTTATTAACTTGGCTGAGACTTGGCCCAGATATGGTCTGTGTTTGGCCCTTGTCTGGAGGCCAGATTTGGTCCAGTCATGTACCGTAATTCACTGCGGCATGTGGGCCAAGCAAAACCTGATTGTGTGGGCCAGAGCTGGGCCAGAGACATTTTGCTATGTGGGTATATGTGTAACAATATATATGTAACAATATATATATAGCTATATATATGTGTGTGTGTGTGTTTGTGACTGAATATATGAATGTCATATGGGGCTGCTCAGACTATATCTGTCCTACTGATGCTGCTCAGACTAATCTGTCTTACTGATAACTTTATTCTACATTTATTCTACATTTTTATTTCAATTGATTTGTATATTATTTTTTAGCTCCGCTCCTTCCCGACAATATAACTAGCTGTATCTCCTCAAGTTTAGTCTTAGTGTATGGTGGATAGGGAAAATGTCATACGATTTCTATTTTGCAAACACGTAGAAAATGTATTGTTAAAGACATCAGGTAAGAGGTGAAGGTCATCTTTGTTTATTTTATTCAGTATAGGGAAGAATGCGGCGCACGGCGCTGAAGACCTTTTTTTTCTTTTCATCAGTTTTAGCGAGGTAAGAGGGGTTATTCATGAGTTAGAATTGTTTTATTATATTTATTTCTTTTGTTTGTCTTCACTATCATCCCCTTGGTCGAATTTTTGTTTGATACTTTTGTTTGAATTTGTTACTTTATTATATTATTTTTATTAGTGTAAATATTTCTCTTTTTTGTATATTTGGGCATTATTCTGGTTTTACTTTTGTACATTAAATCACTTTTGTTGGCAGTTCTGTTGCCTACACCCTCACATTGTGAAATTACCCCACTTTTTCCTTACAAGTTATGTGAAACAGTTGAGACAGACAGGCGTGCGCTTTGTCTACGACATGAATTCTATTCCTGTACTCAACTGGAAAACCAAAATGTTTTCACACAGATGACTTAAATGTGTCTGGGGGATCTGCAATCTCAGAACTATGTGAAGCAGCCATCCTGCGTCCAGTAGTAACGAGTGTGATGCTCACTCAAGTCACATGACATGACATGCACTAAAATACTATCTTTAGAATATAATATTTAGAACAAATCCTCATCATTACTAAAACAATTTAATCAAATATGATATTAAAGATGTGTTTAAATTGGTTCAATTAGTTAGAGACAAGTGACGTCAACCTCAACAATGGGCAGCAGGGGGCGTGAGAGTACCGCGATACACCACGAGAGTTTCGCGATACGTATCGTGGTTGGTGTATCGCGATATTTCGGTTCGGTTTTAATATCGTTACACCCCTAATATATATATATATATATATATATATATATATATATATATATATATATATATATATATATATATATGTGTGTGTGTTTGTGACTGAATATATGAATGTCATATGGGGCTGCTCAGACTATATCTGTCCTACTGATGCTGCTCAGACTAATTTGTCTTACTGATAACTTTATTCTATTGGAAGTGTAATCTTCCACATGCATATCTCAGCATTATCTATGTAAGTGATGTTTTACCTGACTTCTACTACCTCATAATATCCGCTTCTATTAGGAAAAGCGGCTATGAGATACAATATGCCTAAAGGGAGATGGCTATTAGGTCATTACATTCCCTGCTGTCTTCAAGGGGCACCCACACCAGAGCACTCGTATCATCCCAGAGATCATGGAGAAGACCATAGAGGGGCTATTATCCATAAGACACAAGGGACTTACCTATAGATGACATGGTAAGGTTATCCCTGGGCTAATTAACAATTAAAAACTAAACTTAGGGGATACGTCAGCCTGGCCTGGGGAGCAGGGGACACAGAAATTGAGACTAATGATCAAACTGTAGATATTGGTGAGATATGATGTGTTATCAACCCTAAGGGAGGAGGACAGCATGTATAAAGCTGTATGAAAGGGGCTGCTCAGTGGGACATTTGATCAGATCACCCCTGTTGTTGCAAACGCTTCAGCCTGAGTGACTCAGAACGACTTCAGACTTCTTTTCTAGACTTTGCTTGTTTCCTGAATAATATCTAAAGAAGCAGAACAGATTTCCACAACACTATTAGGTACAAATTTGTACCTTTTAAAAAGGTGCCACCCCAGTGACAGCTCTCGTACCTTTATTTCCAAAAATGTAGATAAATATCTTTAAACATTTTTTTGAATCATTATAACTGAGTTTAACAAGTTATGATTAACATAAAACCATGTCTGTTGATCTTATAAAGTATTACGGTGTGTGATTTCAGAGTGTGCATCACTTCACAGTTATCATACCAAGTGTAACCTGCACTCAGAGCAGACAGCAGTGGGCAATAATGGGAGAGCTGGAAGTAATGTTGATCAATAAATGGACTCTTTTCGCATGTCTGGGTTTCTAAAAAAAATTATTCAGAGATAATTCCTTGGATTTACTAAATTGTTTTACTTTAAGTGGTTAAAAACAATTTATTTGTGTTGAATTTAAACAAACAAATTAAGTTGAACATTATTAAACCTAATTTGTTTGTTTAAATTCAACACAAATTAATTGTTTGCAACAGTTCTGCATGCAACACGGAAGGTGCCAGTTGGTAAACTTAGAGCGCAGTGAATAGAAGAGTACAACAAATCCTTTATTTCAATCCTAATTGCTGAAACAATAAAATAAAAAACTCCACCATGGTGATACAGACTTTTAAAAGAAGGACAAAAATAGTGTGAGACTGATAACGGCAGCCGGAAGAGAGAACAACGTCAGATTTTCTCCTATAGACGCTGCATTAGAAACACCTCGCATAAGCGGGTCATTCACTTTTTTGTAATTCGATGCAGATGATATAATACATTCATAAATGCATGTAAAAATGCATATGAATATAAAAATGCATATAAATAGTCATCGTATTCATAGTTTTTTTTTATCGAAACATTAAAAACTTGAACCGATTTAAGATTATGATGAGTGTTAAACACGTCAGAACAGTCTTGTGAAAAGGGTCCATACCTTCTTTACAGAATAAAAACAGTCAAGCCGGTTTGGAAGAAGCGGAGGGTGAGTAAATGATGACAGAATGTTCTTAAAATAGCTAACTTAATAAATATGAACTTAATTTAAACAAGTTAAAATTACTATAAAAACATAGGTTGTCATGACTTGATTGATTTAAGATTATGATGAGCGTTAAATGCGTCAGAACCAGTGGTGTAGTCCTTGCTATACGCACGTATACTCAGTATGCTTACTTTTTTCCACAAGCTGTTTGGGTATTACCACTTCTGAGGATTAATAAATGCGTAAACCCTCAGTATTCTCACTTGTTTTTCTGATTACACTTCCCTAATTTACGTGTATTCGCGTCCCCTTTAACTGTTTACCAAATGGGGGTTTTATAACTCACAACTTAAGATGTGCCCTATCATATTAGTCGAACATTTGTAATTGTGTTATTTTAAATTCTTACTTAAAAATGTGTTTATATAGCCTATGTATATATATATATATCACATTTTTCTTTGTTTATCCCAAAGGCAAAGACTACTCATAAATAGCGTAACAATATGCGATTTAAAAGGGTAACTACTAGTATATATTAGCGACAACAGAAGACAGACTCGTAACAATTTGTTTTTAAAAAGCACATTGACTTACATTGACATACTGACATAGTATTTGTTTTTCCTTTCTAGGAAGTTAATAGTTACAGGTATATATATATATAATGAATCAAGGAAACATGGAAAATTTGTAATAGTACACCACTTTTTTTTTAGGACTACACCACTGGTCAGAACAGTCTTGTGAAAAGGGTCCATACCTTCTTTACAGAATAAAGACAGTCAAGCTGGTTTGGAAGAAGCGGAGGGTGAGTAAATGATGACAGAATGTTCTTAAAATAGCTAACTTAATAAATATGAACTTAATTTGAACAAGTTATAATTACTATAAAAACATAGGTTGTCATGACTTGATTGTGTAATCTTTGACAGTGTGTGATTTCAGAGTTTGCATCTTTACAGTTATTCAAGCAAGTGTAACCTGCAGTCAGAGCAGACAGCAGTGGACAATAATGAGGAAATAATGCTGATAAATAAATATGTTCTTCATAAAATAAAGACAGTCAAAGCGGTTTGGAAGAAGTGGAGGGTGACTAAATGATGATAAAATGCTCTTAAAACGGCTAACTTAAAAATATTAATTTAGTTAAGCAAGTTAAAACATTAGTTAACCTTTGACGGTGTTTGATTTCAGAGTTTGCATCTTTACAGTTATTCAAGCAAGTGTAACCTGCAGTCAGAGCAGACAGCAGCGGGCAATAATGAGGAAAAACCAGTGGGAAAATATTAATGAAAAATTAATATCTTCTTTAGAGAATAAAGAAGGTCAACAAGGTTTGGAAGAAGTGAAGGGCGAGTAGGGGAGCGCGGGGCACAAAGTAACGCGGGGTTAAATGTAACACAGAGTTTTAAGGTATTTGCTCAGGGTTAACCATGGCATGCTCCCAAGGTTTTCACCACACTGTCAGCGGACGTCTTCCAGCCAATTACTGAAAATATTTGGCGAAATTTGGATGAGAAACACTGGAGAAACCATTTTTCCAGCATAAAAGTATTCTTTATTATAATCAATATTTTTTATTTTTAAAAAAATGTGAAAGTATGTTAGTAAAATCCTATATTGTTGTGCTCACCGTCTTCTAGGCTAAAAGATTAAACCATTTTGAAAGATGTAAAACACACACAGTGACTGCTAGACAGCTTTGAGAAAAGCATGACACAGCGGGGTTAGTTGTAACACGGTGTTGCAATTAAGCCACACACTGTTAAACACCAATTAAACCAACAAAATAATGTTTTGAATTTTGAGTGTGATGTTGAGAAGTTTTTAAATAAAAAGTTTTTTTTTTTAGTAAAAAAAATATTGTTTTAATAGAAAAAAACATGTTATCGCTAATAATGCAAATAAATGCATTGTATAATAATGGATAATAATGCAAATAGATTCAAAAAAGTTTATCCAATAAACAAATAAATACATAAGCATAATGTGCTATGTAGAATAAAAAAGAAATGAGCCGACTACTGGTGAAATATAGCTACTATTTAAAGTAAACTGAATTTAAACTAACAGTGTGAAATCTGGCTTTAAATGCAGGTGTCACAACTTGCCCCGCAGGTGGGGTAAATAGTAACATTTTTACTTCTGGCACTTTTGGCAATACTGCACAGGTCTGGCGATCATAATTCCAGTGCTCATTTGTAGGAGAGGCTTGTGTGTTGTTGGTAAAAATAATATGGTTTGTCTAACCCCGTTACTTTGTTCATTATTTGGGCAAAACCAAAAAGTGTTACTTTGTGCCCCGCTCTGCCCTAAACGATAACAGATCTGTCTTTAAACTATTTTTGAATCATTAACTTACTTTGACAAGTTACAATCTAAATAAAAGCATGTCTATTTGTCAGATAATGTATTACGGTGTCACAGTTATCATACCAAGTGTAACCTGCAGTCAGAGCAGACAGCAGTGGGCAATAATGAGAGAGCTGGAAATATAAATAAATATCATCTTTACAGAATAAAGAAAGTCAACAAGGTTTAAAAGAAGTGAAGGGCGAGTAAACAATGACAGATCTGCCTTTAAACTTTTTTTGAAACATTATTAACAAGTTATATTTACCATAAAAACATAAGTTGTCATGACTTGATTGTGTAATCTTTGACAGTGTGTGATTTCAGAGTGTGCATCACTTCACAGTTATCATACCAAGTGTAACCTGCAGTCAGAGCAGACAGCAGTGGCCAATAATAGGAAAATAATGTTAATAAATAAATATCTTTACTTTTTTTATCATTAACTGAGTTTAACAAGTTATAATTAGAATAAAAGCATGTCTATTGGTCATATAATGTATTACGGTGTGATTTCAGAGTGTGCATCACTTCACAGTTATCATAACAAGTGTAACCTGCAGTCAGAGCAGACAGCAGTGGGCAATAATGAGGAAATAATGCTGATAAATAAATATGTTCTTCATAAAATAAAGTCAAGCTGGTTTGGAAGAAGTGGAGGGTGACTAAATGATGATAAAATGTTCTTAAAACGGCTAACTTAAAAAAATTAAGTTGGTTAAGCAAGTTAAAACATTAGTTAACCTCTGACGGTGTTTGATTTCAGAGTTTGCATCTTTACAGTTATTCAAGCAAGTGTAACCTGCAGTCAGAGCAGACAGCAGCGGGCAATAATGAGGAAAAACCAGTGGGAAAATATTGATGAAAAATTAATATCTTCTTTACAGAATAAAGAAGGTCAACAAGGTTTGGAAGAAGTGAAGGGCGAGTAAACAATGACAGATCTGCCTTTAAACTTTTTTTGAATCATAAACTGAGTTTAACAAGTTATAATTAGAATAAAAGCATGTTTATTGGTCACATATTGTATTACGGTGTGATTTCAGAGTGTGCATCACTTCACAGTTATCATAACAAGTGTAACCTGCAGTCAGAGGTGGGCAACATCAGAACATCAGAAAGATCCGACTAACATCAGAAAGATCCGACCCTTCTTATCTGAACATGCAGCTCAACTCCTTGTTCAAGCTCTTGTTCTCTCCAGACTGTATTACTGCAACTCTCTACTAGCCGGGCTTCCAGCTAACTCTATCAAGCCTCTTCAACTGCTCCAGAATGCAGCAGCACAAGTGGTCTTCAATGAACCTAAACGAGCACATGTCACTCCGCTGCTAGTCCGTTTGCACTGGCTGCCAGTTGCTGCTCGCATCAAATTCAAAGCTCTGATGTTTGCCTACAAAGTGACTTCTGGCTTTGCTCCTTCTTATCTGCTCTCACTTCTGCAGATGTATGTGCCCTCCAGAAACTTACGTTCTGTTAATGAACGTCGCCTCGTGGTTCCATCCCAAAGAGGGAAGAAATCACTTTCGCGGACGCTCACGTTCAATCTGCCCAGTTGGTGGAATAAACTCCCTAACTGCATCAGAACAGCAGAGTCACTCGCTACTTTTAAGAAACGACTAAAAACCCAATTATTTAGTCTCCACTTCACTTCCTAATCTGCAATTGCCTCTCAGAATATCACACTAACTGTACAAAAAAAAAAAAAAAAAAAACTAATACTACTAATACTTCCCTTCTTAGACTTTACAGACCTGAAACTTGCTTATAGCACTTATTCATTGTTGCTCTTGGTTGTGTAAATTGCTTCCTTGTCCTCATTTGTAAGTCGCTTTGGATAAAAGCGTCTGCTAAATGACTAAATGTAAATGTAAATGCAATAATGAGAAAGAGCTGGAAAAATAATGATAAATAACCCTTTTAAAGAATACAAGAAATGGGTATGGAAATAGTGAACAGTGAGCAAATGATCACAGAATTTAATCTTAAAACAGCTAACTTAAAAAAAAAGTTTGTTATTACCCGAGTTTAACATGTTATAATTAGCATAACAACTAAAGTTGTCATGACTTGGTTGTCTACTCTTTGACAGTGTGTGCATTGCAGTCAGAGCAGACAGCAGTGGGCAATAATGAGAAAGCTCTGGGTACCTGGTGGGATGGTGAACCCGGGTGGCAGCTGGATGGTGGTCTGCTGCTGCGGCTGCTGCTGTGGCGGCGGAGGTCTGACAATCAGCTGCGGCGCCACGAGCCTCTGCGTCTGCGTCTGCGCGGGTCTGATGACCGGAGCCACCGCGGGTTTGACAGGCGGAGGCGGAGAGCAGCTCAGCGCGGGCTTCGCGTTGGCCTCCGCGGGCGCTTTGCTGTGGTTGACCCGCGCGCCCTGCTGGACCAGCGCGGACACGGACGTGCCGTTGCCCTTCTGCGCGATGCTGGCGATGATGTGACGCGGGAGTCGGTGCAGGGCGATGGTGGGCGTCCCGCGGTCCAGCGCGATCGCCTGCGGGTTGCTGGACACAGTGAAGGTGGTGCTGGAGACGGATGCTGATGCTGCCGCGCCGTTGCCATTGAGACTGTGTGATGCCGCTGAGCGCAGGGAGCGCGTCGGGTGTTTCTTGCGGGTGTCCGCACCTTTGTTGCCCGGCGCAGGAGCGTCGGATGCTGCAGCCGCGGTGATGATAATGATGCTGCCATGTGATTTGAGCGCGCTCTCCTTCTCCGGAGCTTTCGCGTGTTTTTCCGGGCTGACATCTTTCGGGTCTGGATCCGGGTTGCGCGTTGCTTTGCGCGCGTTCTGCTGCTGCTGCTGTGCTTGTTGTTGTGGTTGTGATGGAGAGTCATGAGCGGGCAGCTGCGCTCTTGCTCCTGCCTGCTGCTGCTTGCCGCGAGTGTTTTCGGGCTGCCCGGCGGACGGGTCGGTCTGGCCCCCAAGCTGAGACTCCAGAGAGCCCACCAGATCGCTCACGGCTTTCTCGTCCACCTCGGAGAAGAGCATGTCTTCCAGAGGGTCGGAGGCGCCCGCCATGTTCGCTCTCTCTCACTCTCTCTCTCTCTCTGTGTGTGTGTGTGATGGGCTGTCTGCTGGTGCGCGTCCACGAGCGCGAGTGCGCAGTCGTGTTACTATGGCATTGTGGGAATGGACGTGACGTCAGAGGGCCAAAACCAAACAGTTGTTCCCCCTGTTACAACTCAGTCGAGGATCGCCTGCTACTGTACAGTACAGTGAGATTTGGGGATAGATAGATAGATAGATAGATAGATAGATAGATAGATAGATAGATAGATAGATAGATAGATAGATAGATAGATAGATAGATAGATAGATAGATAGATAGATAGATAGATAGATAGATAGATAGATAGATAGATAGATAGATAGATAGATAGATAGATAGATAGGAAAGAGAGTTTATTCTGATTTATTATTTTACTATTATTTAAATTTTTTTATGTCATTTATTTAATTATTATTTTTATTATTGTTATTATTATAATTATTATTGTTTATTATAATTTTAATAATAGTATAATAATTGTTTATTATATTATATGTATTATTTTTATTGTTTTATTATTATTATTATTTTATTATTATTATTATTATTATTATTATTGTTGTTGTTGTTGTTGTTATTATTATTGTTATTATTATAATTATTATTGTTTGTTAAAATTTGAATAATTTTATAATAATTGTTTATTATATTATATCATATTATATGTATTATTGATATTGTTTTATTATTATTATTATTTTATTATTATTATTGTTGTTGTTGTTGTTGTTGTTGTTGTTATTATTGTTATTATTATACTATATGTTTTAATACTATACTACTATTTCCTGTGTTTACTATGTTTTTTAATATACATGTATATTCTTTTTAATGTAAACTTTATAAATGCTTTGGCATTTGTAACATCTGTCATGCCAATAAAGCAATTATTCAATTGAATTGATTAATCAGTTTGTAAAATAAATAAATAAATAAATATAATAAAATAAAATAGAACAGATCAAATAAATTAAACCTAATAAATAAATAAACACATTAGTATAAAGTAAGCAAATAATAGCTTAAATAAATAATCACTTATTTAAAGATTATTAAAATAATATTAAATAAATTATCTGTAGCATGTCGGAGCCAATAGGGTATATGCCGAGCTAGGGTTGTTCCCATACTGATAAACTTCCTGTGACCTGTTATTGTGAGTTTTTTTCCATTTTATATGGTTCCTTTTACAGCATCGATGTTGTAATGTTATTGAAATACATTCAGTTAAACAAACTTTGTCATTCATTTAGTTGCTCAAGCGTAAAACAAGACAAAAAGCCATTTACTCGCAAGCGCCCGTTAAAATCGGCAGGCTAGCGCAGAAGCTCCATTGAATATACTGGAGTAAATTAAAAAAGTGCATATTATAAAGACATGGCGGGGGAAATGTAATGTAATGCAGTGCTTCTTGTACAATCTGAAACCCACTTTATATCAGATATCACTCAGCCAGTGGAGATCGCTGATTTTTAAATAAAACTGACCTTAAACGTGTCAATTGTTGCACTGGCATACAGTTCACCGGAAGCGCTTAACCCAGGTTACTGGCAAATTAAAAGTCCTATTGGCATGACCCGAGTTCGATTCTCAGCTCAGCTCAAGCCGATCCTTCCCCTCTCTCTGCTCCCCATACTTTCCTGTCTGTAAATTACCACAGTTCTGTCATTAAAGGTGAAAACCCCTAAAAAACAATTATAAATAAAATCTGTAGCATAATACAAACATAATTAAATGAGATTTAAATAAATAAAATATTTAAAATATATTAATCAAATTAATTAATAACAAAATGCTATTCAAATAAACTTAAAATACATGTGTAAGTGAATAAATTAGAGCAACAATGAGTAATAAAAGTAACTTCTCTTTACTCAAGGGACTCTATTGATGCGTTTTTAAATGTATGATTGGAGGATGTTGACGTCTGAGAGCCCCTCTTGTAGCCTAGATATTGCTCTGGTGTGTTTGTTCGGCATTTATGATGAAATAATTCCTTAGTTGTGTGTTTTGTAATCTGACAGGCACATTTAATTGTAATTGTACAACTACAGAAACTCAAAAAAGCTCTCTCCAAACAATAAACAAGATGATTACACTAAAGTTTCCCAGCCCCTGTTAAATAAACACATTTTGAAAAGATGCAGAAGCTGCTGATGGGGTGGAAACTTTTGGGTTTATGGTTGTATAAACTAATATATTATAGTTGTCAGTGGTTAGCACTGTGGCCAGCAAGAAGGTCGCTGGTTCGAGCCTCGGCTGGGTCAGTTGCTGTCTCTGTGTGGAGTTTGCATGTTCTCCCCGTGTTGGCGTGGGTTTTCTCTGGGTGCTCCGGTTTCCCTCAGAGTCCAAACACATGCGCTATAGGGGAATTGATGAAATGAATTGGCCATGGTGTATGAGTGTGTGTGTGTGTGTGTGTGTGTGTGTGTGTATGTGTGTGTGCGTGCGTGTGTGTGTGTGTGTGTGTGTGTGTGTGTGTGTGTGTGTGTGTGAATGAGTGTGTATAGGTGTTTCCTTGAACTTTGTTGCAGCTAGAAGGGCATCTGCTGCATAAAAAAACATAAGCTTGAATAAGTTGTCAGTTCATTCCGCTGTGGCGACCCCTGATAAATAAAGGGAATAATCCGAAGGAAAAGGAATGAAAATGCACGCCTACAATACATTTGCACAATTTATAACGATTTACTAACATCCATTTTTCAACGAGTTTACTGATTTAGAATTCAGAATCCTTTATTTACTTCCCACAGGGTTAATCGCGTTTTACCTCTTACGTAATTCCCAAAATAACGGGAGTCAAAGCAAAATCCCGCGAGCTCCCGCGATACCAGCGTGATAGAAGAGATACAGCTGCGGCCGGAAGTTAGCATAATTATTTATATTATTTATTAAATTACACCTTAAGTGTGTTTAATTAACGTCTATCCCTTCTCAAACCCTAAACCCATCAATTATGTTAAGATAAAAACATTAATTATACCGAGTATTAGTCATATTAATTATTAAATTAACCATTCACTTCTATTTTATTAACATCTACCCCTACCCCAAGCCTCACAGCAATGTAAATATATTAATAATTGTTGTACAGTGTCACAAACATTAAATAATAATAATAATAAATAATGAATGTAATTCTTTATTAAACGTAAGTATCCGCAGCTGTATCCCTTCTAGACTTTATCCGAGGGGAGAAGGTGTAAAGATGGCATACAGCTTCGGATACTTACGTCAATGTAGCATAATTTTTATGACACTATATAGCAATAATTAATATTTTACATTACTTTGCAAGATAGCTTTAGTGTTGATGTAGAGGTAGACGTTAATAAAACTAAATTTAATTGGTAATTTAATAATTAATATAAATAATACTCAATATAATTACTGTTTTACGTTACCATTATATTTAGGATTAGGATTGAGGTAAGGGTAGATGCTAATAAAATACAATTAATGTGTGATTTAATAAATAATAGCCTATATTCTCGTAATCTTTCGGTCGCAGCTGTATCCCTTCTAGACTTTACCCGAGGAAGGGGGAGGCGCGTTACCCAGCATGCACCTCGATTCAGTGCGGAGGAAAATGAACTCGGCCATGTCGTGCTAAACACAGGCTGAAAGAAAACATCAAATCAGATCACCAAAATCGCTCTTCATTCGGGTGAAACCGAGATTAAAGAAGCCAAGAGGAGTTGAATATTCGCGCGGGAGTGAAATAAAGCGGGAAAATGAGCGGAGGGACGCCTTATATCGGCAGCAAGATCAGCCTGATCTCAAAGGCCGAGATCCGATATGAGGGAGTTTTATACACCATCGACACTGAGAACAGCACTGTAGCTCTGGCGAAAGGTACTCACACTCAACAACACACATGTATACACACGCACACACACTCGGTCTATATATACACAAACAGAGCGAATATAAGAGTCAACACAAAGAACTGAGATGTAGCCACAGCTAACTGTAAACACAATACACACGCAGTATATATACACACTAATCAGGTATAGACATGGGACGATAACTGTTTCGGGGTATACCGCGGTTTGGAAAAGTCAAAGTTTTTAAACATTATCTGCTATACCTTTCCTAAGGTATGTGTAAGATTTTTTTATTGACATTTTTTTAGGACAACATTATCGCCAGCAGAAAAAAAAATCTTCAAAGATGCCGTATTTGTACAGAAATCTGTGTTTCTGAAACAAATGAAGACAGCGGAAGGATTGATTCAATGATTTATTTGAATTATTTAGCCTGACATCCCATCAGACACGCGACAACAGCTGGGCGATATTGCAAAAATAAAAACACCACAATGTTATGCTTCATATCATTCGATATGGATAATTATTTAATATTTTTTAACAATACATTTAGGAATATTAGGATTATTAACCACTTTATTTTAATTCATCAAGATTACTAAGGCATAGTTTTAAAAGTCAAAAACATAAATATTTAAACAAAATATATCATCTTTTTATATTAAAAGAAACAAAGTGTTAAAGAGACTGAACAATCAAAGCTAACTTTAAGGTAGAGCAACATCTGTAGCTTTCATACCGAGCTTTAGCCTTCTTCATACTGTCAATACTGACAAGGATGCTCGGTCGATCAATATCTACACTGATTTTATCGCTGAGCCCTAATCGTAAGACGTTAATATTAGGTTACATGTAGGTTGTGACATCAGGTGTTCAAAATTCAATGTCTAGCCAGCCTCTAAGCACAACATTCATTTATAATGCCTTTGATTTAAGGTTGTGTTGGAAAGTGACCAAAATCCAACGTCGAGCCAACATCTTAAACCAACGTCATATTAAAATCAAATACTGACATTTATTCGTCAGATATGTGAACCATAATCCTATGTCTGACAAACATCATAGTAGTAAATCCACACAACGTCAAGCTGTGACATCGTTAGACGTTGATTTTAGGTTTTACGTTGGGTTCTGATGTCAACCCAATTTTCAATTCCAAACAAAATGCAATGTCCCCATGACGTTGGGATATACGTCAATCTGACGTCATGTTGACGTCCTGTGCCTGCTGGGATGTTTACTGTTCCAAAATATCTAAAATGTTTCTTAAAATAATATATATTATGTTCAAAGGGGACACAACTTTTTTTTTTTTCTCAGACATTTAAAAAAGAATATATTTTAGAGAAGTAATGACAATATCTTGAATGATATTTTTATCCAAGGTTATC